GCCAATTTGAACAACAAAAATTTCAACATCTTGTTTTGTCATCGACAGATGTTTTACTCAAAGTTTATGAAAGTAATTAAACTAAGTAATGTACATGTGATGATGTTGATGTGGATATTATTGTGTTGCAACCACACAACCTTTAAAGGACAATGGATTTTGAACATTTTTACAGTTTGTCCTCTATGTGGTTAATGTAATCCATTTTCTAAAATCATGTACACAATTCTGAACAAAATGATGTTTTATGATGGCTTTTTCATGTTTTTTTGTGTGTGTGTCTCTGTTAAGGGCCAACTTTTATTCTTTTTAATGTCAGGTTCATCACAGTTTATTTCCTGAATTCCCAATCATTTCAAAGAAAGTATTACAACTTGGAAAATTCCTGGCATATTAGAACCCTATTCAAGACAGGAGGAAAGGAAGCTAACCCCACTGGTTCCCAAACCTTGTTTTTGTTTATTTTTTTATTTTTATTATTTTGTATCTGAGCTTTTACTGTTTGAACTCCACTAAACACCAAAAAAAGCGTTTTGTACCAGTGCAACATGTATTTACTCTTGTAGCAGAGTTAGTCACGACAGAGAAACTCAGAACTTCCTTCAATCCTTCACTATAAAAGTTTTCAATACACGTACTGTTGTCTCAAAATACTCTGACCAACTGAAGCTTATAAAATGCAATAGCTCACATAGATATTGATCTCATGTAAACCTCATACTGCAGCCTAAACCTCCTTTTTGTTCAAGTCCATTCTGAAGTGCACCCAACATTTGTCCAAAACAAACATCCTTCATTCTAAAACATTCAGTTCAGAACGTTTTATTCACACACCTGAAGTTGTAACCCACTGATGCTCTGGCATTGTCTTTCTCATTGGGGTTTCCATAGAGACCGTGAAAGTTGTACTCTGGTTTACAGTGTTTCACATCAACGTCCAGGTTACATGTCCAGTCAAGTACAATCCCAATGGCCCCACCCTGTCAGGACAAACGCACAGGAAAGTCCGCCACATCGAGAGAAACAGAACTTGTGTGATTAAAAAGGATTTAAATCAGCTTCACATGTAAATCATTCAGAGGGATCAGTGTTAAAGAAAAATATTAAACTCTGAACACTCACCACTTTGGCTATTGTTTCAAAGTTGAATCCAGACAGTTTAACGATGTCTCCCAGTCTAAAGATGGGACAGAGCGGAGCATTCTTTGGATGGTAAAGGCATTTACTGATGTAATCACCATCAATACCCTCCACCAGGTTACTCCTAAAACCACAGTAAATATTAGAAAACATTGTAGAGCTTACTTCAAAAATACCAAGCTACGTATAATACAAAAATAAGTCTGATCTAATGAGTGGGGTTCTTTGAAAATGTTTTTGAATGATTAATATGTTACCTGTATTTTTTAGATAGTTCTTTGAACAACCTCAGTTTGGAGAAATAGAGAAAACTTGGGATCTTCTTGCCAGAAAGGCAACAATAAAAGTGTAACATTTTATCTACATTAGAAATAAAGAAACATGTATAAGAGGTGGGGTAGCTTTGTGGTCAGTGCTGCGGTCTCAAAAATGAGGTTGTGGGCTCAGAATCGCTACCTTAACGTGGTGGAGGGGTTTGAGTACCACTGTGATCCTGGGGGCTATGCTGTTGGAGGCATCAGCTCCTGGTAGGGTTTCCCATGGCAAGCAGGCCTCAGGGGAGGGGTCAGACAAAGAGCGATTCAAAACCTTTATTAAGAGAAAATAGATGCATCAGGACTTTCAACCGGAAAAGGGAAAGCAGGGTACCTCCCTGGAGTCAGGCCTGGGTGGGGGGAGGTCACTGGCATGTGTCTGATAGTTGAGCCTTGGCTTCAGGGGCTCAGCCAGGCCGAGTATGAAAAAATAACAAGAATCCACATATACATAGACCCACCATCTGCAGGGAGGTCCGTCAAGGTAAGGTGTTGTGCATGTTAGGCAAGGGAGGGTCCCTGGCCATGCTAATTTCTGGTAGAATAGACTAGCTCTAGGATTGTGGACCATCACCTCACTGGTGGGTAAGGAGCCAGAGGTTGTAGATGATGTTGAGTGGCCCTAACTTAGATATAGTTGGGCTCAGTTGTATGCACAGCTTGGGCTCTGGAACCCAACTCATGGAGAGAGGCTGGACTCTCTCCTACTCTAGAGTTGTCCAGGGAGAAAGGCATCAGGCAGGCTGAATGCCTCTGTCTTGGAGTTTTCCCCAGTGAACAAGGGGTTGCCTCTCTGCAGCTTTGGGATGCATTTGCACCAAACATCAGTTCAGATTACCCAGCCTTTTTGGGATCTCTGGATGGTGTCTTGAAAGGAGTGTCAACCTGAGATTCCCTCATTCTACTGGGTGACTTCATTGCCCATGTTGGCAATGATGGAGTTTATCTGGAAGGAAGTGATTGGGAGGAATGGCCTGCCTGTTCTGAACCCTTATTGTGTTTTCTTATTGGAGTTATTTGCTATGCATTGGTTGTCCATAATGAACACCATGTTTGAGCATAGGGTGGTTCATAAGTGTACTTGGTACCAGGCCAAAAGTCAATTATCAATTTAGTAAATTGTGTCTTTGGACCTGCTGCCCTATGTCCTGGACACAGGTGAAGAGAAGGGCAAAGCTGTCAACTGATCATCAGCTGTTGGTGAATTGGATCCAGTGGTGGAGGAGACTGCCAGACAGACCTGGTAAACCCAAGCATATAGTGAGGGGAAATTGGGAACATCTGGTGGATCCCTTGGTTCATGTGGCTTTCAACTCACACCTCCGGAAGAGTTTTTCACATGTCCTGGAGGAGGTCAGGGACATGAAATTAAAATGGTCTGTGTTCAGGGTCTCTATTGCAGATGCAGCTTCTAGGAGCTGTGGCCTGAAGGTCACTGTTGCCTTCTGGGGTGGCAACCAAAGGACCCATGGAGGCTGTCAAGTTGAAGAAGAAGGCCTTCAGGACTTGGTTGTTCTGGACAACTCTGGAAGCAAATGAACAGGTACAGGGTGGCCAGAAGGGCTGTGGCTTCAGTGATTGCTGAAGCAAAAACCTGGGCACAGAAGGAATTTGGGGAGGCCATGGAGAAGGACTTTTGGTTGGCCTCAGAAGTTCTAGTAAAGCTAGAAAGCTAGCTTGGGGGCTCAAGAAAGGAAATCAGATCCTATTCCAGGCTGTGCTTGGTTTGGTTGAGGAACTTCTGACCCAGACTAAGGATATTGTTGAGCGGTAGGAGTAGCACTTTGCGCAAGTCCTTAATCCACCCACCATGTCCACCTCAGAGTTTGAGGTATTGGGGGAAGATGAGTCCATTAATGTGGCAGAGGTCACCTAGGCCATCAAAAAACTTTGATGGCAGGACACCAGGGGTGGATGAGATTTGCCCTGAGATCTTTAAGGTTTTGGATGTTGTGGGGCTGTCATGGTTGACCGATCTCTTCAATGTCACAGGGAGTACTGGGACAATGCCTGTGGAGTGACAGACCAGGGTGGTGGTTCCTATTTTTTGAAAAGGGTGACTGGAGAGGTGTTCCAACTGTCATGGGGTCACATTTCTAGCCCTCCCTGGGAAAGTTTACTCAAGGTTGTTGGAAGAGAAGCTCCAACCAATTATAGAACCTTGGATTCAGGAGGAGCAGTGTAGCTTCCATCCTGGTCATGGAACAGTGGACTGGATCTTTACCCTTGCACACTTTATAAGGGGATCTTGGGAGTTTGCTTCTCTGATCTACAAATGTACGTGTGTTTTGGGATCTCGAGGAGGCTTATGACTGTGTTCCTTGAGGCATTCTGTTGGGGGTGCTACGGGAGTTTGGGATGCCTGGGTTGCTTTTAAGTCCCTGTATAACCAAAGAAGGAGCTTTTTTCACATTCTTGGCACAAAGTTGAACTCATTCTCAGTGCAGGTTGGAGTCCGCCAGGGCTGCCCCTTCTCTCCGGTCCTATTTATGGTGTTCATGGACAGGATCTCGAGGCACAGTTGTGAAGAGGAGGGTGTCTGGTTTGGGAATCTCAGGGTCTCATCTCTGCTTTATGTGGATGATGTGGTTCTGCGAGCGTCTTCAGCTCAAAACCTTCAGCGTGTACTGAAGCGGTTCAAAGCCAAGTGTGAAGCAGCTGGAATGAGAGTCAGTTCCTTTATGTTTGAGGCCATGATTCTTGACCAGGAGGGGGGAGACTTTGCCTCTGGTTCAAGTTTCTGGGCTTCTGGTTCGTAAGTGATGGTAGGATGAAGTGGGAGATGGATGAACGTATTGGGGCCTTGTCCTCATTATTAGGGCCTCATCCTCAGTAATGAGGGCATTGCTTCGGTCAGTTATGGTGAAGAAAGAGTTGAGTCAAAAGGCAAAGCTTTTGATTTACTGGTCTGTCTATGTTCCAAGTCTCACTTATGGTCATGAGGTTTGGATCATGACCGAAAGAACGAGATCCCTGATACAAGTGGTTGAATTGGGCTTCCTTTGTTGGGTGGCCACGCTCAGCCTTAGAGATAGGGTGAGGAGCTCTGTCATTCGGAGTAGAGCTACTGTTTTTCACATCAAAAGGAGTTAGTGGAGGTGGTTTGGGTATCTGATTAGGATGCCTGTTGAATACCTCACTTTAGAAGTTTTCCAGGCCCGTCCCACTGGTACGAGGCCCCGGGGAAGACCCAGAAGTCGCTGGAGGGATGGTGTATCTTCTCTGGCCTGTGAACACCTTGTGGCGCACCAGAACAAGCTGAGAAGTGTCAGTAAGGAAAGGAATGTCTGGATTTTGCCTCCATGATCTGACTACAGATAAGTGTAGAAAATGGATGGATGGATGGTTAGATGTATGGATGGTTGGATGTATGGATGGACAGACAGATGGATGGGTTCAAGATGGATTGTGCAAGAAAGGGCTTTCAAAGAGCTATCTAGAACAGGTAAAATGTTGACTGCTCATAGCTCACCTCAGAACCCCACTGTTTGGCACATTGTTTTGTATTATTAGTGCTTAGTATATTTTTAGTTTAGCGTATTTCTTAGTTCATATCTTAGATCATATTACTGTTTTTCTTTACATTTTGTAATTTTGTTGGATGTAACTGGGACCCTGTGTACATAGTTTCGTTCCACCTCATGTACCACATGTGACGTGAAGGACAATAAAGACACCTTGATCTTGAAAATATATCATCTATCACTTTAGGAGCTAAAGTGTAAAAAACTTTTCAACAAGTTTTCATCAAATAATAACAACATTGATATATTTAATGCAACACACAAAAAATTAAGCTAATAAATAAAAATAACTATGTTCCATTAAAAAACTCACAAATGCATGACTTTATTTTAGCTATTTTTTTAATACTTGAATGTAAATTTATAAGACTAAAGCCATGTAACCTAAACACTGTTTAATATATTTTGCTTTATGCCAAGACATTTAACAACATCTTTAGGGTTTAGTTCAGTTTGACATCATTGAGCTCCATCACCTTGTAACGCCAAATAAAGGGAAAGTTATAGAGTTTTTGATGAAGAGTGTGTAGTTTTCTGCAGACATCAGAAGAGGAGGACTGGAACAGAAAAGAGAAGTAAATTAAACACTGTCATGAGGTGTTTTGTGAGTTAAGAATTCAGTTTCTTATGTCGAGAAAATATCATAAAAAACGTTACAAATTCCAACATTGGCAGAGCTGCAATGATCAGAGCCCAAGCAGATTGGGAGGATTTGGTTATCTGACATGCTCAAAGAAGATTAAGATTAATATACAAGAAAAAAATATGCAAGGCCCAGAAAATGATGAAAAGCAAATGTGCATTTAAATGAGTTAAGCTTCAGTGTAATGGTGGGTCATTATAATCTTAACTTCTAATTAAAACTGTTTTTTTATATAAAATATTAGGCACTCTATTGAAATCTGAACATAACTAGCCTGTAAAGTGCATGCATTATGTTGATTGACTGTTAATATCATCAAGCTATTAAAACCATATTAATGTTTTTCTCCGTCTACTTATGTGTGTGCGTGTCTGTCTGTTAGCAAAATATTTAATGAACTACCAGATGGATTTTAATGGAACCGTCAGAAAGTAATAATTGAATGTGTATCTACAACTAATTAACTTTTGGAGTCAATTCATTCCTTTAAGGAAAGTTAGGCCTTTGATTTGTCTGCGTTATTTCATTTTTTTCTGATAGTTTGTTAGTAAAAAAAACAAAAAGAACAGGGGTGTTACTGCATCATATAGTGATCTATCCACAGAAAACTTGGAGTTAAAAAGAATAGTTCATGCATTTTGAAAAAGGGTTATAATAAAACTATCTTACCAGTTGCAGATAGCTATTTGAATGACTCCAGTTCAGACCAATAGACTAACGACGTGATTAACGAGCTAACAGCTTGTCAGAGTGGGGTCGAACCAAAGTGGATGTTGCCTAAAATCTACTCCATTCCCATGAATTACATAAAATTGCTGTTCCATAAATTTTACACCACTACTAGTTTCACATGACTTTCATCACTGCGGCAGAAATGTTACTATATCTTCACCAGGGGCTACAGCTAGTTGCTGCTACTTGCTTTTGAAAATGTCCAGAAAACTGTAAAAACTCGTATAAAGTGAACATGGTGTGCAAATAGTAACGAGAATTCTGAATTTGTTAAGGTGATTTAAGAAAACAAAATGGTAACTTGATTATTGCAGCATCCCCTTTAGATACAGAAAAAACATCACAGTTGCTGCTTTCACCCCACAGGGTGGATCTTTACTCGCAGAGTCAGGAGTTGGTTATGTCCACCTACTCTGGTATGGTGTTATCGTCTTCGACTGGGCACCAAGCTAACACCTCGCAGGTCTTTGTGGCATCCGCGCAGACTCCTGTCATCTGCCCTTGAAACGGGAACAAACAAAAAGCTCATAACTGAGTTCCAGCTTGAAACTGGAGCGTCAGACATCATGCAACATGTGCTAACAGTGAGAAACAGAGTGGGTGTAGGCTTCAACTTTAAAGCAGCCGAAACATTTTCTGCCTCCACATTTCATCTTATCTTGCATCAACATCGACAGCAGCACACGGGATATAAAAGTCAAGCAGAGCAAATGCTGAAATAGCTGTTCTCTTTATCTTGGCCCGATCCCGACACATAATTTCTGTGTGAGATTAGGCTCGCTGTTATCTTGTTCTCTCATCTGGAGCAAGGTTTTGTAGAGAATTCTCCAGCAGCAGGCATTTGTTTGCTCAGCTGCAGTCTCTAACCTTTCATTAGACACCCCCCAAAAAAATGTTTTGCTACAGGGACGCCCTCATGTGCTTCCAAGCACCGAGGCAACTGTCAGTCTCTAAAGGCTCTCCGGACACCTCAAGGTGAATTTGACATGTTTGGAGCAGATGGATGTGAAGCTGCTCTTCTTGAAGTTGATTTGACACTGGGGACCTGTAAGGCTCAACATGGAGGACAACAGCTTTATGTAACTGATGTCTGAACTTCTGTCTGTGTGCTCATGATACGTGTCGCCTCAGGTGCGTGAGTTGTTCTGATGGCCACAGTTTTTCCCCAAGGCAGGGCTTTACTTTTTGCCTCGGGGATCAGTAAGCCACAGCTCGAACATAAACACCAAATATTTGGTTGCTAAGACTTATGTTGATTTTAATCCTTTTTTTTTTTTTCCCGTCTCAGTGCTGGCCAAGAGGAATCCACGATTTGTGTCTGAATGTTTACCTTAGTCATGATGTGTGAAAGTGTCTGTAGCAGTGCTCAGAAGCCACAGCCTATTGTGCAAATACAGTCCGAAGTGACATCTTCAGCACATCACTGAGGATGAGCCGAGGATTAAACAGAAACTTCAATGTGAGGCCCTGTGGAAAGGTTATGGACTACTAATGCAGTATCTTACCTGTTGCAGATAGGTCTTTGAACAACCTCAGTTTAGAGAAATTAAGTTTTGTTTTGACCAAACTGACTAGCTAACACCAAGTCTGAGCAAAACAAAGACTTGTTGTGGTTCTAACATGAATGACACCCAACCTGATCACTCAAATTATTTTATATGAAAAGGATATGATCCTTTTTTTGGATCCAGTTGTTACTATGCATAGTACAAACAGGGCTGTACATATGTAAAAGCTCAATATTAAGGTTTTTATTTCATATATTTTGTGACTTGTGAGCACATACACATGCAAGAAAAAGTGCCATGATTTGTCCAGTCTGAAGAATGCTGTTTGGTAAATCTGAAATGTTAATTTTAACCAGGAATAAATGAATTATAGACATCTACAATACATATCCAGCCCTATTATTAAATGTTAAATGAGCCATTTAATATTTTTTAAGAATTTAATTTGTTTTTTGACTTGCCTTTTACTAGTACAGTTAGAAATGTAGATATCTTAAATGTTTACTAGAGATGTGGTGATTACAGTTTTGACTAAAATGTTATTGTGATTAGGATAAATGCTATTATTTATAGCGAAAACTGTAATTCGTAAGAGAAGACTTGGATGATTAATGATCTTAGGTGTCTGCTCAATAGAGTATGAGAAGTTGCTTCCCCATATTTTTTTTTTTTTACCTAAGAACATGTCCCCACCCAGTAAAAAGACAAAAGTATGCATTATTTATTAAATCTAATTTTACCTTTATTATTACAAAAAAAAAAAAAAACACACCTCTCCCTTTGCTTTGAGTTGGTTCAGTCCAAAACTCAAACACCATAAGCTGCTAGCAGCTTTCAGCTGTGGGAAATAAATGTTTTTAAATATTTAAATTTTGCAGCATCTTTCACTGATTATGAATCAGGCAGAAGAGATTAATAACATTTAGTGATTCACAATAGGAGTGTAATATTTCCATAAGTTTATAACATGTGGCAATATACTGTAAACTAAATATACTGTACTTTAAACTGTTTGTTTAACCCTCCTGCTGCCCTTGGGTCAAAAAGGACCCACAAGGCCTTAGTTTTAAGACTGAGGTCTCACGGGTCATTTTAACCCAAGGGCAGCAGAATTGTTAAAATATAGCACGAACAAAACACTTTTAAAGGATTTTAATCCAGATCTACCACATTAAACTGCAGAGCAGTTTCCCTTACAGCAGCCAGTAGTGAAACAAATCACTTCTTCTATCGTTTTATGGAGACACACTTGCATCCCTAATTTTTCTCCCCATCAAGATTTATTATCAACATCAAATTTTAAACTTGTATAAACAGGAAAACAGCCTTTAAAAGCCCCAAAACAATATTTTTAAAGCACGGGTTCCAGAGTGAAAACCTCTTGAATCACCACCCTTGTGTTTATCTCACACACAGTGCCAATTCATAAAGTTTAGAAAATGATATTATAGTCCTATCTCTAATACAACTTATGACTGGAGGGCCCCCTCTTCTTGTGTTTTCAGTTTTCTGTGAGTGTGCAAGTTTTAGGAGCATGCTCCACCACTTGTTTCCTGTTTTTGGTATATTTTCATGCTAGCGTTGTAGCGCCACACATTAGCCTGGCACAGCAATTTGGGTCAATTTCAAATGTATATTGTTATTTTAGGTATGGGTGAATACATTTCTAGTGCTGTGTGTTCAAATATCTTTTAGAAACAGCATAAGATTGTTTAAGAAAAACTGTGTTTTCGTGTTGACAAGACTTTAAACCTTATTTCTCTAAACTGAAGTCCTTCATAATTTTTCTAAAGAACACTTAAGATGATGAAATACAGTTCAAGCAAAGTTTCAGATGTGGTTTAGTGGCTGAACAAAGTAAGGTAATAGAAGCAAACGCTTTGACTGGTCCGAGCTGAACACGGACGGCCAGTCAGTGAGGACTGCTGACGTCACACACTTCCATGCCGTCAGGATTTACCATGTCCCGTACGTTTGAGTTTCCCTCCTTCACAGTCGGCACTTGAGTTGCAGCTGTTCTTTCCTTCGAGCTGTTAGAAACAGGAAAGCAGGATCAGTTTGTGTTTACATCTGTGGAATGTGGATCTGAAGATTACAACATAACAACATGGGAACTCGGTCTCACATGCACTTTAATGTCATGCTGTGCCAAAGACTAAACTGGCCTTGTTTGCTACACAACGACAACAACACAACCCCATCTCCCCAATTACACAAACAGTCCTGGTATGAGACACGATTTCCACTTAAGTGTATCAGACAGACATGGGGAAGGAGAAACAAAGCAGAGACTTTTTACATACCTCCGGACATTTTCCCATTTTCTGACCTTCAGTAATGATGTAGTTAGTCATCACTACAAAAGATGGGTCTCCCTGAAGTTTAAATATTAAAAAGAAATGCGTTACAATGATTTAAACCTTGTGTATTTGTACTTAAGCAACATTTTGATGCGACAATACACGCCCAAGTTGAAGACAAAGGCAACCTCTCGAACATTTCTGTATTTACTTCTGGTGCTAAAATAAAATGTTTTACAAGAACCATAATATTTCTAACAGGCAAATCCCCTTTCAACCTGGCTCAGAAGAAATTTAAGTTTTATTAAGACAAAAAAAATCTACCTTTTAGGCTGACGGTTAGAGAAGATGACTTACGTTTTCATCCTTGAAATTAAATAAACTCGTTCGATAGGCTCAGCACTGAGACTGTCTACTAATAAGGCTCAGTGGAAGATTTCTATCTTGCATCATTTTCATAAACTTGACTCCTCCTGGACCATGTGCATTGTCTGAGTTAATTCCTTATAAAGGACTGAATGCACAGACATTGGCTTAAAGTTTTAGCAATGCAAACAAGAAACTTGGCCTCCAGTTGTAATTATTATTCTAATGGCAACAAGAGCAAAGAAAATGGTTCCAGAGGAACTGTAGAGCCCGCTCAACTTTTACTGTGAAAGTTAAAGGCGATTAGTTTCCAGCGCAGCTACTGGTCTTGTCTTAAAATAACGATCTTTACTTTAAACCATGACTTTTACTCTTACCTATTTGTTACAGATCTCATTCCTACAGTTCTTTAATGTTGAGCCAAAACCTTAAGCCTTAAACAAATCCAGTTGTCTCCGCCCAAACCTCTCATACTGAGGAAGGAGATGTGCGTGCAAAGTGCTGGCGCGTGTCGTTTACGGTCGTTAAACAAAATCATCCGTACTGTTCCACATGTTTCTACTCTTCCTACAGACTACAGGCCCTGACCTTTTCACTACGGTGCTTAAATATGTGCAAAATGTGGTTTGGAATCATCTAAAACCTGCACATGTTCCTTCAAAACTCAAAGCTCTCAGCCAGCATCATTCAGAAACTCCTCCTGATGGTGGCTTTTATTGTGTGTATTGATAATAAGATAAATGGTTTTTTTTAAAAGATGTTCAGCTTAGTTCATCAGTTAACTCAGGCAGGATGACAGAGCTTCTGGATCACACTTAAATAAACACCACAGGGGTGTGACTATATACAGAAACTTTGGTTCAGCGTGAATTCAGTTTGACACTGAAATACATTTTCTTTCTGTTTTTTTAGACGCTAGGTCTCCCAGAAACACAAAAACAAACATGTATTGATGGTAGTTTTCTGGTTATGGAGAGAGGATTTATCCACCAATAAGGTGATTATTAAAATAAAATGAAAAAGTCTTATTCAGCTAATCATGTTTCAAACAAAAGCTGTAATAAACTTCACATTTATGATATTTCTATTTAAGAAAACATTAAATATGAATTTTGAAAAGGTAATACACAACTAAATAACATCTCATAGTGTGAAACTACATTATTAAATGTAAAACACTCATATCTATCTTTTCAGCTGGGTGATACTAATGTGCTATGTATATCTGGACACTACTTATAAAATGCGACAGTGAAATTTGACCCTTTTGGCTTCCTGTACATCCATCTCTCCATCCTCTGCTGCCTTCTGTAATCCGCAACCATGAAACTTTTCCAACAGATGAATTAATATGTTTGTTTATATACTTTATAATCTGCTTGTACTTTATACAGCAAAGCATCCCAAAGTTTCAGGAACCTTTCTGTGTGAAAGTAGATCCTGGCACATTTTCAGATAATAGTTTTGAATTTGTGCTAATAATTCTGAAATTGCTTTTAGCAAAATAATTGTTTTTTCTAGTTTTGTTTGTGTATCCATTAAACATGTATTTGTTGGTAATGACATACCACTTTGCTAACTACAATTTACTGAGCTTTGTAATTATTGTGACATCAGGAATGACCGGTTTGGAGTTTGTATTCATAAAAATAACAGAGAATGCAAGACATGTCACCACAAGCTGGATTTTAGAATAATGCTGGGAATTTTTACCCGATCAAAGCTTGTACTGGAAAATAAAAACCTTTTCATCTTCTTGCTGTGATAGATCTAAAAAGCTCCACACCCAGAACTCAAAGCCGACCGTCATTGTGTCTGCTTTGTGCTTCTCCCACAGATAACACTTGGCTACGGTGGTCAGCAAATGTATTTAAGAAGAGTATCCCTTTGTGGAACTGTGCTGAACTCTTGCATGTTGGTGTGTAGCTGAACTACACTGCTCTCATTTCACTTCTACTGTTCAGCTGAGGAGCCGCTGGCCGAGGCCGTTGGAAAATACAGCCATTGTGCCGGTTCTCCTCTACAGTTTCTTGTAAGAGTAAAAACTGTCCACGTGAAAAAAGCATCTCACAACCACGTGAGCCAGAACAGATGTCTTACCTCTTATGTTCTCAAATCTCCCCAGAGAGCAGTGTGCAGCTTTCAGTCTCTCATTGACTCTCATTGTCTGTGAGCTGAGAAGCTTCTCTTTGTAACTGGAGGTGAACGGTCTTTTTCTTTTATTTATTTTATTTTTATTAGCATCCCCACTACATAATATGCTGTAGACGCATGAAAACTGACATTTATGATGACCAGATCCAAATCACTATTCGGCTTCATAGAAGAAAATTAATGTTTGGGGGAATTTTGGACAGTTGCTGCGTTGACACCCTATAAAATGTATTTAGACCTGTTCTAGTAATTATACCTGTATAAACTTGGCATTGGGGTTTCGTTGCTGAGCATAATTTAGACATTAACTGCTTGATTCAGGCTGACAGTTCATCACTGTAACATTTAATTCATAGACCGTGACTGTTGACTTCCTTTGAATGTTCAATGACATGTCCAAGCTTTACAACAAATCCTTGTGACACGTAAGGACTCACTCACCTGAGGGGGGAAGACGTAGTCAGCCACATCCCAGATCGTCTCCCTCCCACTCACGTTGGTGTAGCCAACTCCTTTCATTTTGGTGAACACGGAGCTCACTGCTGTGTCTGAGGACTGGTAACCTTTCTCATAGATGAAGACCCACCTGTTTGAGACATAGAGCACATTCTGTGAGTCCTGTCAGCACCTCAGACTCACTGCCCGGCCCGGCCCAGCCTGAAGCCAGGACATGTGCAACAGCATTAGCATTATGTTTAACACAGCCAGCAGCATGTCTAACATGGACTGAGGGTCAACTTGTCCTTTTACTCCTCCAAAAGGACAGATCTGACAAACTATCATAATTTATTTACTGTGTTTAGCAGCTACAGTTAGTGTAAAAAAAGCTGATAAAAAAAGTGAAAGCAAGTCAGAAAGTCAATTTATCACAGGAATGATCAGTGGTGGGATGATGCTGCGAGAACTAGTCATAAAAAAAGTAAAAATGTGAATGTGTTGCTGCAGGTGAGATATAGATCACTAATAAATCTACAGAATAACGTGTAAAAATAAAATATAAAACACATTTTATATCTTGTAACATTTGCTCTGTATGCCATGCTGTTACCATTTTCTCAACTGCACTACGTTTGTGTTGCTACGTGAAACTGGGCACACTACGTGCTGTCACTCACTTCTAATCCCAACACACTTTTAGATGGTAAAAATGAGTAAGAACAAATTAACAGTCTTTTTCCTACTGAAATTTTCTGAATGAACCTGATTACAAAGAGGAAGAACTGTTGTTTAGATTAAACTAATCCTGTTAGAAAACATGTTTGTAAGATCAATCATGCAGGTAGGAAACAAAAAAGTTTAAATGACGTCATCTGGACCAGTTTCTTTACATAACAGATGACATGATTTAACTTTTTTTGTTGTTTTAATCCTGTTAGATTTTTAGCACCAGCTACAGTCCATTTTACCATTTATATATATATTTTTGATATTTTTGCATCGAAAGATCAAAGTCCTGTTCACAGGAAGAAATTGAGAAACCTTGCAAATGTCTTGTGACGTGCAATTTGTCACCAACGATAGCAGCCTACCTTGTAATTCAGACGAGCCACATCTGTGTATAATGTGGACGACAAAATTACTCTTCCAACAAAAGTTCAACATGATGTTTCAACAACTAAATGGTACATAAACTCGATGTGGAAAAAATGTAACAAGTGTGGCTGGCTACACCAGATATTTTTTAAATGGGTACTTTATTTATTTTTTATTTATGTGTTAGTTTGTTTTTACAAAAATGCTTAAATACCTATTCCACATTACCATACAGCCAGAATGTACACATTACATACAAGTCAAAACACAAAAAAACATTTGTATACATGAAAACGCACGAATTCCAAAGCAATGTTTTTTAATTTTTTGCTTCTAAATTTAGTATTGTAAACATGGCACTGTTTCTAAAATACCTTCAATGACACTGAAACACCAAAAACAATCCAAGCGTTGTAGTAACCGTGCCAGGCCTGTATGTGGTGCTGTCATGCTGCCACAAAAACAGGAAACAAGGTGTGGAGGCAGACACATGAAGCGTAACACTCCTGACACTATTGATATGTTTTCAACACATGCTTGTCTTGAACTATTTTATGATTTTTTTCAGGTTTGACTTGTTTTAAATAGAGATTTGCACTGATCGACCATTAGTTTGATCTCTCCATGAGAATTTCTCTGATTGTTTAAATTGAAATCACTCATCACTGTCTTCTTCATGTAAGACACAGACTGCCCACAAGTCTTCATCAGAAAACCAATTTAAAAATCTAAAAAAATCTATCCATTTAAGTGTTGAACTTCTTCATGAGCTCCTTATTGGGGACTGCCTGAAAACAACCACCTATTATTATCCACCTGAAAAGGGTCTTGCTCTTCAATCAACTTGAATGTGGCCCAAACCGCAACACGTACCCCCACAAATTTTATATCAAAATGACCAGCTTGGCACTGTGATGTGTGTTATGCTTTTATTTGCATTTTGAGTTACCATGGTGATGTAAGTCGCAAACAAATATATAATTTTTCTCACTGAAAAACACTGACAGAGCCCTTGACGCTTCTAACTGCCACAGCGAGGTCTCATGACCTAGAGGAGAGAGGTCTCTGGACAAAACGCAGTATGTCATCGAACAAACTCTTCCTACCACATCTTTTAAGATACACATCCATATTACGGTATATATCAAAACGTAGGCAATTTAGTCATCTAAATTTTAAAATGGCCCCCATGTGCCAAAGTTTCTCCAGGAACCTTCTAGATCTTAATTCCAATTCAAACTGGTGTAGCTGACACCAGGAATGCCACTCTGTACTGTCTGGGAGGCATTAAAGGCCTACCTACAGGGGTCAATTAATTTCTTATTGTAAAAACAAACAAAAAGAAAGCCTTGCTACGGCTAAGACAATTACCTGATGAAATATTACGATTAGACAGAGAATATAGCCACTCCCCCTCGTGAGATCTAATGAAAAAATGTTTGGTACTTCAAACTGAATTTAATACTTTGTCTACTCAGCAGACAGAGTATCCATCCATCCATCCATCCATTATCTTTACCCGTTTATTCCATTTTGGGTCACGGGGGTCGCTGGTGCCCATGTCCAGCAATCACTGTGCGAGGGGCGGGGTACACCCTGGACAAGTCGCAAGTCCATCACAGGGACACATAGAGACAAACGAGACAAACAACCATTCACTCTCTCACTCACACCTAGGGACAATTTAGAGTTACCAATTAGCCTAACATGCATGTTTTTGGTCTGTGGGAGGAAACCGGAGTACCCGGAGAAAACCCACGCATGCACGGAGAGAACATGCAAACTCCACCCAGAAAGGCCCCCGGACCGGGGTTTGAACCAGGGACCTGCTCGCTGAGAGGCAGCAGCTCTACCAGTTGCGCCACCGTGCTGCCCCAGACAGAGTATTTAATCTCTAAATCTAGACAGGGTTACTAGGAACACGGTGAAAAGGCTGGGCGCTTGCTCGCACATCAGTTGCGGCGACAGTCAACCAACCAAACTATTACAGCAATAAACAATGAACAGGGAACCATGACAATGCTGAAATTATTACGTTTTAGCAAATTTGACCAGTCATTCTATACGACTGACTGAGTCATCAGCTAACGTATCGGACAGGGAGAATTTTCTTGGAGATCTTGAGCTTCCTTCAGTGAATCCTGATCTCTTTGGGGACTTGGAGAGGGATTTCTCTGTAGCTGTGATAAACTCTGCAATCAACATATGCAAAATGGGAAACCCCCAGGACCAGATGGCTTCCCATCTGAGTTTTTTAAGAAATGTTAAAGTCTACTCTTACCCTTATTAAGGTCTGTGTTTGAGAAGTCGCTGCACTGCCCGTGCATCAAGCTGTAAACTCGCTAATACCAAAGAAAGATAAAGATCCTCTAAACTGCGGCTCATATAGACCTATCTCACTTTTAAATACTGATGTAAAAATCCTTGCAAAGGTACTGGCAAAATGACTTGAGCGGGTGGTCCCAGGTGGTTCCACCTGACCAGATAGGTTTATTAAAAATCGTCAGGCTTTCTTCAATTTTAGGTGGCTGCTTGAAGTGCTATACACTCCTAGTCCACCCGAACACACTTGTGACAAAGTCATTCTTTCATTAGCTGCAGAGAAAGAATTTGACCGGGTGGAGTGGGGCTACCTCTCCGCTACTTTAAAGTTATTTAAATTTGGTCCTAAATTCATATCATGGGTGTGGCTGATGTATTTTTTCATATGTTCAACCTTTATTTGAGCCTTGAGCACTCATTTACAAGAGATGTACCTCTCCAGTGGTGGCGGTCTGCACTAACTGTAACATATCTTTCTATTTCAAACTGTAGCGGGGTACGAGACAGGATGCCCACTCGCACCACTCCTATTTGAGTTGGCAATAGAACCATTGGCTGTAGCTTTAAGGCAGAACATCCATCATTAAGGGGATAAATCGACCAGGTATGGAGCACAACATTTTTTTATATGCGGATGACGCTTTGTATATATCAAACCATCTTATCAGCATCCTTGAATTAATTACTTTGCTTCAAAAATTCGGGAAAATATCTGACTATAAGGTCAACCTTCTAAAGAGCAAGCTGATGCCTGTGACCTCTATAGAAAATAAAATCTTGAACACCATACCCTTTAAAATTAGTTTAAATAAATGTAAGTACCTTGGGATCTGGATAACTCGAGATCATAAGAACCTATATAAAACTAATTATCTACCCCTCATAGTGAACCTTTAACAGGACATTGCCAGATGGAAATCCCTGCCTCACACTCTAGGGTGCAGAATAAACTCTGTAAAAATCAATATCCTACTTAAATTTCTATACCTGTTTCAGAATCTGCCAATCTTCCTTAATAAATCCTTATTTACCAATTTGAACAGCCATATATCAGTGTTTATTTGGAATAAAAAGCATTGACGGATTACCAAGAGGGGCAGCACGGTGGCGCAACTGGTAGAGCTGCTGCCTCTCAGCGAGCAGGTCCCTGGTTCAAACCCCGATCCAGGGGCCTTCTGGGTGGAGTTTGCATGTTCTCTCCGTGCATGCGTGGGCTTTCTCCGGGTACTCCGGTTTCCTCCCACAGACCAAAAACATGCATGTTAGGCTGATTGGTAACTCTAAATTGTCCCTAGGTGTGAGTGAGAGAGTGAATGGTTGTTTGTCTCTGTCTCTATGTGTCCCTGTGATGGACTGGAGACCTGTCCAGGGTGTACCCCGCCCCTCGCACATTGATTGCTGGACATGGGCACCAGCGACCCCCGTGACCCAAAATGGAATAAGCGGGTAAAGATAATGAATGGATGGATGGATTACCAAGAGGGTTCTACACCTTCCCCGCAGACTTGGAGGCATGCCTCTTCCTAATTTCATGCACTATTATTGGGCAGCTAATATCAGAGCTCTTCTATTCTGGTTGGGTAAGACACCCTTTCTCCTAGTTGGGTGACCTTGGAAAGGGCCTCAGTTAGATCCAGTTCTCCCTCTGCATTACTCTGCTCTCGGCTGACCTTTAAATAATCAATATCAACCTACACTTCTAACCCAATTGTGATCTGATTTGTTTCTTTT